CAAAAGCACAATTAAATTCCTTCCTTGAATTCAAATCTTAACTTTGTGTGGAGTCACGTCTCAGCAAGTTAGAAATATCTCATGCATTCAGCAAAAGATATTTTGCATCTTTTGTTCTGCTCATTAGCAGAGAAAATGGTATGGTACTGATTATCAGAAAATAAATACCAGCATATAACTGAAGACTAAGTTGAGTTGTGAAAGAAAAAACAACCCTAGTTTCTTGGCATCATTTCTATCTAAATTAAAACAAAACAGAAGTTAGATTGCTTAGAAAAAATAAAACTTTTTTTTTCCAACTATGAGATCCTATTTAACTTGATTTTATTTGGATTCTGTCATAGTCAAATCTCTGGGATTTAACCCTAAAATTATGTATGATCCCTGAAAGGGCTGTGCTATCAATAGCTGCATTGTATTATAAGGGCAATACATGGAGACACTGGCTACGACTGTAAGACATTCATTTAACCCTAAAATTATGTATGATCCCTGTAAGGGCTGTGCTATCAATAGCTGATTGTATTATAAGAGCAATACATGGAGACACTGGCTACAACTGTAAGACATTCAGCATCTTCAACTCTCCCAAACTCAACAGGAGACCAAATTACTCAAGTCCTGATTTACCAGCTTGTTCCTATAGATATGCATACATCCTCTTCATTTTCCTAATATTTAAGTTTGCATTTAAGGTGGAGAATATTTATATATTTTTTTGGCTAAATTAGATGACCAAAGCTCTTACGAATAAATATATAACAGCAGGACACTGTGGGGGTAACAACCTCTCTAAAAGGATTAGCAGAGAAAAGGTGCTTTGAACAGAAGCACAATGCATTCCCTGGGTTCATTTTTAGTATTTGTGGTATAAGCATTTGTAGTATTTAGTATTAGTAACAGGGGATGTATTTCACTAAAATAGGGACAATGTTGCTGAAAATTAATCAGGCATGATCAGAGGAGATGTTTGAAGTCTTTCCTGGTTCTTAGGAACTAGAATTTCTTGGATACCTGAGAAATGTGAAAGAGTTCCCATCACTAGCCCTGAAGAGTCTCCAGTTAACTTCATGGTCATGTCTTTACTGATTACATTCAACATCTGCAATGTATATTTAAAACAATACCATTTGTCCTTGCTGACGCTGTTCTTTACAAAATGACATCTGCTGTGATTTCCCACAAATTACATAGGAAAAAGGTCTGCCGGAGTCCTAGCACTCCACAATCTGTGGAAGGAGGCTAACTTCAGAAGGGGACAAAATTAAGCTCTAGTTCTCCCGATAGGAAACAGGACTGAATGGCCTCCAGGACACGAAACAATGTATGCTTCCTATAGCTGCTTTCCCTGCTTTTAATACTGTTGCAAGAGCTGCATTAATGCTCCATAGCATTAATGAACAATACTTGAACAGACATGGTCTAGGCAGAAATTGAGCGTAGTTTCCTGATGAACGGCATGATCAGGCCTTTTAAACACTGATTTACAGAAATTAGATTTTAAGCTGTAACTCTTCATTCACCTCATTAACTTCTCTTCAAAGTTGTCAACACAGGGTTATTGTTGTCCAGTAGCACTGAAGTGTCCTGTAGAAGGTTAAATACAGAAAACAAGGTGCTGAAGAGGTGCAGGCCAGACCAAGGGGAGGTTTCAAAGATGATCCCAAGGTTTGTGTAGGTGAACTTGGGCAGGAGAGCATGGAGTTCATTCTAGTAATATTTTCGGAAATTAATTTCCTTGCGGTGTGAAGAAAGAGCTCCTAACACTGCCTCCGTGTTCCCGTGATGTGCAACCAGTGTTCCTCACTACTCATGACTGCTCGGAATTGCCAGTGGGCATTTCACAAGAGAAAAAAACAGACAGAGGATACACAGACAGTGCAGGGACTGATACAGAATTAGGGGAGCTTCATTTAGAAAATAATATACAGCAGCAAATAGAGGAAGCCTAGGAGTGGATTTGTAACCCATATCACTATTTTTGCAACTATATAAATCTGATTCCTTCTTTACTTGCACAGAACTCTGAGAGGGAAGTGCAGCGTGGGTGCCCATTTCTCAATCTGGAAGCGTGGCAGTGACAGTCCTGCAAAAAAAAGATGTTGGGTGCTACCTCATTAGCACCGGACACAGGGCATTACTCATCCCTGTTGTAAAAATCCGCTGCTGTGTTTCAGTCATTGCTTCTTTTTCTTCAAGAAAAGTGCCAATAGGAGAAGTGTCAGTTTGATACAAACCACTTCTGCATGTTTCATGAAGAAATGATCTTGAGCTAAATCCTATGGTGAAATAGTTCGATGTTTTCATTTTGTTATGACCTGCTCATTTGACCAGGACTCATTCTCATGAATAAATCTCCTGATGTGTCTGAAAACACGTAGGCACTGTGGACATGCAGGGGCTTCATGGAGGCCACCTTCCTATGAAAGGCATCGTGTGAATAATAAACTCCTACTGATTCACTTCTGTTGGGTAAGACAGTTGCGTTTTAAAGGCTAATTCAGAAAGAGACCCTAAGAAAACTCAAGCTTCTTAAATAAAAAAGTTTTTATCTAACATCCTTGTTTCTAAATCTCCTCAATTACAGCACTAATTAGAAGACCAATTATGCTACAGAATTCATTTATAATAAAATCCAAACAGTTGATTTGCACCTTCTGACCCAAAAGCTGAGGCAAGCTCTCCTTGAGATCAGTGGGCTTTGAATCCGTTTTTCAGTCTCTAGTCCTTATTCATACAAACATTACTGGGTTTGTGCTTGGGCTTGACACCGAATGCTGTTATCCTCCATGTCTTGCAGATGCTTGAAGTTTTAGGGCTGAGAAGGAGCCCTAAAGGCAAGGAGGTACGGGAGACTCTGTAAGCCATAAACCAGGAGCGCTCTGCACACTGTGTGGCAGCTTCCGCAAGGCCGTTTATCTAAACTCTGCTAGTTGATGCCTTGGGGCTGAGTGAAGCCCTAGTGCGACTGGCGAGCTGGTCACAGCAGCCCTCCTGCCCCACGAACACAGGACATGTAGCCCAGGGCAGGCAATGCTGGTAAGAGGCTGCATCCCCCTTAGCAGCCCTCACGGTAACTCTGTGCCTCGTATTTGTCCTGATTATGTCAGGAAAAGAGGGAGAACACAATCACTTCCACTCCCAAAGCCCCCTCTCGCTATAGTGCGGCCTCTGTGCAATTGTTCTCCGTTTGAATACCTCTTCCGCCCTTTTTCACAGCCTGCAAAGCCCCCTGCATGCCCCCCTGGAAGGATTTAATACATACATGGCTGGAACAGTCACGGAGGTAATGACATTAATGGTCATTTGTTAATGAGTTGTTTTGCCACAACATCATGTGTTTGACTTGAGAGGGATCCAGCAGGGACTTGATCTATAAGTAGTGATTTCCTTACTTATCATCCCAAGTAAAACATCACACACGGTGATTTGTGTTTACTGAAAAAATAGGACCTGTTAATTTCCGAGAGTTTAAATTAATTCCTGGTTTAAATTAACTCCCTAACACCATCAGAAGCCATAACGTGCTGAAGATGCTGGGGTCCTCAGGCCTCTAGCAGCTGTGTCACTTGAGACACCTAAACACCAAACTAGGCCAGGAAACACCTCGCACTGATCCACTCACGAAGGGTAATGTGCAGTGTCACTGTCTGCATCTGGGATAGGAGAAATGGCAGCTGTTACCAGTGGCCAGCTAAGAACTGGGATAAGGAAAAGAAGCAAACACAAGAAACTGAAATAACAAGAGTGGTATTACCAGGGACTTTTCTGACTTATTGCAAGCAGCCACAGTTTGACAGACTGCACAGCCCTCAGTCACACATTTCTCCTGGACTTGCACGCTGGAATTTACAGTTATAAATAATTTAAGTAAACTGTATGTATTTCACATATGGCTGGAAGAGGAGATAACTCCTCTTAACTCCATTTACCAAGCAGCCTCTGTTAGGGAGACTTTTTCCATGCTATAAATGTTTACAGCTGCTCAGGCAGACAGTCAATGCAGGTCTGCGGTTCTGAGCATTAGCAAGTCCCTGTCATGTGGCCCATGAGCTGCCCCTCTCCTTTTGCTTCCTTGCTGTGGTTGTCCTGGGGCTACGTTTGCCTTCCTGTTGGAATAGCAAGATGTGGAACAGCACATCCACTGTGCTGTGACCGTGTTGCCACCCTCCTGTGATCCTGGGTTGCTCAGTGTTAAGCCCACCAGCGATGTCCTCAGCTGACGAGGCATGTGATGCCTCTAACCATTGCTTTATCGTTTCTTCTGCTGCTTTCCCTCATGGACATGGCCTTCCTATTTCCTTCATACCAACCTGAATATTCCCATAACACATCTCTCCATGCCATGGTATAGGTTGTAAATTACTTCACAAGAGAGAAAAAACACACGCGTAATCACACGCGTAATCTCTGTAGTAGTCTCTGCACTAGAAAGATACTAAAGGAAACCAAAGGTAGCCAAGCTGGTTCAAATGTCAGTGTGCCTGAGGGCGCCTTTCGGTGCTGCCTCTCACATTTTAAGAGAGGGAAAAAAAAAGAAAAAGAAAGAAAGAAAAACAGTTGAAATCTCTGTGAGGCATAAACCTTTCTCACAGTGCCCAGTGCGAAGCCCCCGGGCCCCAGCTCCCCGCGAGCACTGGGGCAGCAGGGCAGATCTCTTCCCTGGCACCGTGGCTGCGACAGCAGCACCTGCGCTGCCGACAGCCTGGAGGGCTGCGCGGCTGCTCCGCTTCCGCCCGCAGGGGCCCAACTCAGGTCTCTTTGCAAGGAAAATCCAAGCTGCCCAAGCGGCACACGAGGAGACGGTACCAACTGCAATGCCTGCAAGGTCCTATGGACAACAAACGCTCTGGCAAACGCGACGCTCCCGCTCCGCTCGGGAAGGCTCCTGGC